CGGCTTGCTGTTCAAAAGGAGATGAGAAGTCTGTGGAATTTTGTAATCGGGATTGGCCTACGTTCCAGCATTTGGTCTTCCTGCGTTCCACTGCTGAGACCTCAGTTTCGGCTTGTGTCCAACTTCACCCAATGGTAGCTTAACGTCACTCACAAACAAGGAACTCTGCCTAACACGTTTCATGACTCCAAGGTCACTTCATCAGAGACTGGATTTCCTATACCTCTTCTCTTTTTTATAGTTAAGAACTGGATCACATTTTTTAATGCCCATAACATTTAAAAGTATGTGAAACTCATATCTCACTAAAAATAACAGATAAATAGGAGCAATCACACACAGGTTAAGTACCTTACAATTAAATATGATAATGCTGATAAAAGAGCATTAGAGGATCTAATAAAACAAATAGAATTAGCAATTTAATTGAAGTGGATTCAATGAATGCTTTCGCAGCTGAGTATTCTCGTAAAGTACAAAACAAATCATCTTTCACAAAGCTGATAAACAAAATATATATTGCGCAGGGAAATAAAACACATTTGCAAAACGTCTAAAAATATATATAATGAAAAGCACAAATTGATAGTAAAAAAAATGTGTATCACACTGTGTAAATTAAAAATAAAATGAAATGAGCTAAAATAAATTTGTTTAGGACTTTAACAGAATAACTATCACTGTGACGGACCGCCAATCGGACCACCGAGTACCATAAGCACCGTAGCCACTTAGCCACCGCAGCGTGGCTGGGGTCTCGCCTTCCCTTCTCACCTTGGACCAAACTCCTGGATCCAGCTCCCAGTGAGAAGACTTCTCCTCCAAGAGAGTATAGCAGGTTTAGCTGTGTAGTGATTATAGCAATCCAAAGAACAATCCCAAGAGAAGGGTTTATAGCTGGTATAACTTTCCCCTACAAGCACGAGACGAGGCTCCGTGTTGAGGGTAAACTGGAACTTGTTTATTGGTAGCAACAACTGGCCTTTTATGCCAATCCCCATGCAAGGGGCACTCCTCTCTGGACCTAATAGTAGACTACAGTAAAAACATACACGCAATTACATTGGCTCTCAGGTGCAGGACACTCCCATACAAAATAAGACAATCCCTCCCCTGTGCCTGGGAGATAATTGAGTCAGGAACTGTACTAAACTCAATTATCTCCAGGCACAGAAAACATGCATTTTTACAAAACCCCCAAAATACTTTTAAACACACAAAAAAAAGATTTGAAGGGATAAAGAAGACTTCAGCACCCAAAAGCAAAGATCCTGGAAAAAGAACAAGGAGTCCTATTCCAAGAAAAAAACATTATCCGGAATGGTACGTTATTAAACCAGAAGAAAACGTATAGGTATTATCACCCCCTGAAATACACACAAAATTTACACCATTATCCATGGTGTACCATTATCCCCTATAAAGACACTTTGTTAACGGCTTCTAGAAATCCTCACTGTTGCACAGATCAAAACAGAGAAGTCACTATACATCTGAGAAGAACATTACATTTAGGAATAATAAAGAAGACAGAACCTATTCCGGGAATACTCCTAGAAATCAATTGACCAATGTTAGGAGTGGTGAACCAAATACACCTCACATTGGAGGTCGTTTTCTAGAACAAAGAAGGAAAGACGAACTATAAAAGGGTGAGGAGGCGTAGGAGGCGTAGGAACTCCAGCCTGTGAGGATGTGACCCTGGAGTCATAAAATGTGTTAGGTGGAGTTCCTTGTTTGTGAGTTATGGTAAGCTGCTGTTAGGTGGAGTTTGATGCGAGCCTGAAAAAGAGGTCTCAGCGGTGGAACGCAAGAAGAACGGGTGCTGGAATGCATGCCAGTCCCTGTTATAGAAATCCATGGACTTCTCATCTCCTTTTGAATAGCAAGCCCACACGGAGGGAGGATTACAGTGCTATTGTAATAATTATCAATAGTTATTCGCTTTACCTGTCAGTGGTTTTAATGATGTGGCTGATCAGTGTATTTTTACCTTCAAATAACTGTTATTTTTAGACTTATTACATTGGCATTTTCCTAGTTTTACAACAGCTGAGGTTCTACTGTTTGGCTACCCTCACCTTAAAAGTTTGGAAAAGATTTTATAATGGGCTTACAAAGGCACAACTCATGCCTTTCTTTTTTACAGTCCTGACTTCAAACAGGTCTGATCGAACAAGGGAATTGATCTGACCAAATCCAAATGGTTGCTAGCAATACATCAAACATAAAAGGCATTTTCCGTGGAGTCAAGCTTGCTGATTTACAATACTTACAGCAGATGAAAGTTGTATTTTCCGCTGAATATGTTTTGATATTTATGGTTTAAGCATTTTTGTACACAACCTCGGAACATATTCGGCCTCCCTGAGTTCTTTTACACCATTTCTTCAATCTATTCTCATTTGAAGTACCAAAATTGTTTTCATTCCTCTTTTGGGAAATACAGAGAAGACTTTGCTTCGACAATTTTCGATACAACTGTGGTTGGATACAGAGAAGAATTAAGATCTCGTGGTGACCTATGCAGGTTACCAGTTTGGGCCTCCCCTTCATTCATCACATAGGGATGATTAATGAGTCGAGGCAAATGAATGGTTCAGGGGATGCTGTCTAACCTGCGCCCTAGATGACCATCTGGGTCGCCTTATGGTTAATACTGCTCTGGTTGGACATTTTACTGTAAATTTACATCATGTATCTTAACCAAAGGCTAGACTCCGTATTAATAAAATATCATTGTGTCTGTAGAAAACCGCTTGCATAATGTATGCTCTCTAAGTGGGGTTGGGATTATTCTGAAAGCCTGCCTCTTCTAGATTTGTTTCCGATGCCAAGGCAGGCGAAGGTCTTACCACATAGCTAGACTCTGCTAGGTTGAAACACTTGTAGTATCTAATAGACATGTGCACAGCAGAAAAATGTGTTTGTCCAAATTGATTCGTCTAAGCAAAAAAAAATTTTTGGTTGGATTAGGTTTCGTTAGTTGTGGCGTTTAGGTTAGAGTGGATTTCTCTCATGCTAAAGGAAGCAACCGATCGGTGCCGGTTATCAAAATCCTCAGGCATGGTTAATTACTAGTGAATAAAGCTGCTCCAACTAAAAACTTTATAAAACATTTTATTCCAATCATAAAGTATTTAATAATGGCAAAAAAGTATTGCAAACACCTTAGTAAAAAAGAAAATTAAAAAAGACCCCAACAACCTGCCTAATGCATTTCAAGCTTTATGCACTTACTCTTAGCCTAAAGAAACTGACAAACTGTCCAGATCTTTAACCCAAGCTGCAAGGAATGAAAAAACCTTTACCTTAACAAAGCCAAGGATTCAAATGCAGCTATCCAGCAGGGATATCACAGTGTCGGTTTCTTAAAGGGACACTGTAGTCACCAGAACAACTACAGCTTATTGAATTTGTTCTGTGAGTAGAATCATTACCTTCAGGCTTTTTGCTGTAAACACTGTCTTTTCAGATAAAATGCAGTGTTTACATAACAGCCTAGTGATAACTTCACTGGCCACTCCTCAGATGGCTGCTAGAGGTGCTTCCTGGGGCAGTGCTGCATAGTGTGACTGACATTCAGTGTTTCCTCCCTCTGCATGCAGACACTGAACTTTCCTCACAGATATTCATTGATTCAATGCATCTCTATAAGGAGATGGTGATTGGCCAGAGCTGTGTTTGACTTGTGCTGGCTCTGCCCCGATCTGCCTCCTTGATAGTCTCAGTTAATCCTATGGGAAATGATTGTGATTGGCTCAGAACAACACTTCTGATGATGTCAGCCAAGCAGGCAGATCAGGGGCAGAACCAGCAGCTGTAGACTTGAACAAAAGTAAGATTTTACTATATTTAGGGGAGCAATGGGGGCAGAGGAGGTAGATGGTGGCTTTATTACTATAGGGTCAGGACTGCAAACACACATGATACAATTGATAAAATTACAACAAACAAGTAAAGAAACAAAGTGCATACAACAATATATTATAAATAATCAAGCAAGCCTTGTATGGGAAAAACAAAGGGTATTTTACAACAAAACATTTCTCATGTAAATCATTTAGATGCAAAAAACACAAAAAAAACAAACACAAAACAAAACATAAATCAAAAATAATTAGGCGCATCAAATGCACTACTTAGACCACGAGGTTTTGGTGTATACAATGTAAATATCCACTACTCAGAATAATCTGATCTAGACCTGTCCTCACCACCCCTAATAGGTCTAGTAATTCTGTCAATAACTTTAAGTTTAAAAAAATTACAGCCTTTAGAAGTGAAGAAATGGCAAGCTATGGGTGACTCTGCTCTCTATGGCAAATTAGTTACTTGTTGTAGATCTAAAATGGAATCTAAGTGTTAGTGTGGGTGTTAGTGTGTCTGTTATTGGGTGTGTCTGTGATTGGGTGTGTCTGTTACTGAGTGTGTCTGATGTCTGTTAGTGATTGTGTGTTTGTCAGTGAAAGTGTATGCCCACGGATCGATTTTTGCACCGGGGCCCCATGGGTCATGTGTACGCCACTGAATCTATCAAAGGGAACAGACCAATCACCCATAATGAATTATCAAACAAATGGCACTACTGAATCCTTCATGTGCCTTTTTAACTGTTATTGTGGAGTATTGCCGAAAAATACAAGTCCGTCTGTTGTAATATTGCAACTCCCTTGATGCTCAGACAGCCTCAAAACTGCCAGGGTGTGATGGGAGTTTGATATTACACAATGACGGTGGATTTATAAAAAAAATTCTATGTATGACTGTATATGTAAGTTTAATTTGTGTTTTGACTATAGGCGATATAGGTCATTTTAGGAAGTTTTACTGTAGCATACCTACCAAGTGTCCCTATTTAGGAAGAACAGTCCCTATTTTGGACCCAAATCCCTCTGTCCCTTTTTTCTATCCTAATGTCCTGTTTTTCTAGAAGCTCAATATTGTTGGTATGCATAGGCGTGCGCAGCCTATTGCATTAGGGTGTGCACCCTAAAGCACAAACACACGCCGCGTGTGTGTGTGTGTATGTATGTATCTATATATATATATATATATATATATATATATATATTGATATATATATATATATATATATACACACACACACACACATACACTGCTGTGTGTGCTGTTAGTGTGATGTGTGTGTGAGGGTGCTGTTAGTGTGATGTGAGGGTGTTTGTGTGTGTGTGTGTGTTTGTGACTGTGCTGTTTGTGTGTGAGGGTGTTTGTGTGTGTATGTTTGTCCTGTGAGGGTGCTGTTTGTGTGAGTGTCGTGTATTTGTGAGGGTGCTGTTTGTGTGTTTGTGAGGGTGCTGTTAGTGTGCTGTGTGTGAGAGTGTTGTGTTTTTTTAAAGGTGCTGTGTGTGTTTGTGAGGGTGCGGTTAGTGTACTGTGTGTGTGTGTGAGCTGCATGTGTGTAGATGCTGTATGTGTGTGTGCTGTATGTTTGGAGGGATTTGACAGATTAGTAAATCCTTGCTGCCATGTGCCATCCCTGGTGGTCCAGTGGAGAGTGAACTCTAGCCTGCAGGGCTAGAGTTAACTCTCGCGAGATCTGAGCGTTGCCGCAGCAACGCTCAGTTATCGCGAGAGGAACCTGGCGGAGCTTCTATCTAGAGCTCCCTGTGTCCTCTCCTGCCTCCCTCCATGCTGCTGTGGGCCGGTGAGGTAGATCTTTGGTCTCCCTGCCGGCCCATGGAGGCTTAGAGCAGAGCCGGCTCAGATAGCGCCGGCTCTGCGTGTGTGTGTGTGTGTGTGTGTGTGTGTATATATATATATATATATATATGCGTACACACACACACTCACAGACACATTCCGACACTCACAGACACATACATACACTTACAGACACACACATTCACAGACACACACACAGACACACACTCACACAGACACTCACACACACATTCACAGACACACATTCACACACATTCACAGACACACACTCACACAGACACAGACACACAGATTCACAGACACACATTCACAGACACACACACACTCACACACTCAGACACACACACAAACAGACACACACATATACACACATATACATACATACACATACATACACTCACAGACACACACACACACACACACACACACATTCACAGACATACACTCACACAGACACAGACACACACATTCACAGACACACATTCACAGACACACACTCACAGACACACACACTCACACACTCAGACACACACACAAACAGACACACACACAGACACACACAAGAACAAATTATTATATTTTAAATTTTTAAAAATGTCCACCCAGCCTCCTACCTGGAGTGCTGGCGTGAACTTTTCCCTGGGGTCCAGTGGGGCGGGCGCCTTTCTGCAGCTCAGCCGCGGCGAGGGAGCTCTCTGCTGTCTGCGCTCTGCTCCCTCTCGCCGCGTGGGCTGTCTGCTGTAGCTGGGAGCCGGAATATGACGTCATATTCCGGCTCCCGGCATCAGCAAGCGGCGAGAGGGAGCAGAGAGCAGACAGCAGAGAGCTCCCTCGCCGCAGCTGAGCTGTAGAAAGGGAGGATATCCATCACCTCTTGCCCCCCCCCCCCATGACAGGGGCAAGAGGTGAAACAGGGGGCGCTGAGTGCCTGCAGGAACAGCGTTCCTGCTCAAAAGAAGTGCAGGAACGCTGTTCCTGCAGGACACAAACCAGAGCCGTGCCACGGGGATTAGGGTGTGCCCAGGCACACCCGGCACACCCCGTGCGCACGCCTATGTTGGTATGTCTAAGTGTATAACAGCTCCACAGCAATAATACTCCCAGTAATGTGTCTGAGTCTATAACAGAGCTCCACAGCAATAATACTCCCAGTAATGTGTCTGAGTCTATAACAGAGCTCCACAGTAATAATACTCCCAGTAATGTGTCTGAGTCTATAACAGAGCTCCACAGCAATAATAATGTGTATTTAACCCCTTAAGGCGTGCTCTGCGGTCCTCAAGGAGTCAGTCCTAAACGCAACCGGGTGGGATAGCATGTCTCTGCTGTCTTTCAAACTTACCTGCCTTGCCGAGGAGGGCCAGACTGATGTAGCTATCTCATTGACGGGATTGCAGGCTTCAGCACTGCCTGCAGGGGGGCTGCCTGGGATCTCAGGCAGTCCCCTAACTGTAAAATAAGGTTAAAATAAGTTTTAATAAAATTTTTTATATTAATTAAAAAAAAAAAACACTTACATACTATCATTCTCAGTGTATTTTATTATTGATGTATTTATTATTATATATATTAACATCAAAGTAAACTTAGAATGAAATTAAATATATATATAATTTTCATGCCTTGGCTGCCATGTGGTCTCAAAGGCAACATAACCAATCTGGCAAACTTCAATGTGTAAAAACTGAAATGGGAAAGCCTTATATTTGAGCCTGTAACTTTCCAAAACGCCATAAAACCTGTACATGGGGGGGTACATATGTTGTACTCGTGAGACATTGCCGAACACAACGTATAATGCTGATGATGTCATCAGTGAGAGGAAAGTTATTTTGCTGTATGTATGCTGTATTATGCTTTCCAGTGGTGTATCCTGGTTTTATGCTGCCCTAGGCATGACAAAACTCAGGAGCCCCTCCCCCCCGCACCACCCCACCCTTCCCCTTGCCCTGCCTTCTAAATACACTCACATTCACTGACAGACATGCATACACTAGCTAACAGACATAAACACACACTAACAGACACATACAGTCACTAGCAGACACACACATTCACTAACAGACACGCATACACTCTCACTAACAGATACACACCAAGTAACACACTCTCTAACAGACACACTCCCTGAATACACACACTCACTAACAGACACACACTCACTAACAGACACACACCCACACACACACTAATAGACACACACACACACTAACAGACAGACACACACACTAAAAGACAGACACACACACTAACAGACACACACACACACTAACAGACATACACTAACACACACACACACACACACTAACAGACACACACTCACTAACACACACACACACACTAACAGACACACACACACACACACACACACTCACTAACAGACACACACACACTCACATTAACACTTTTTTTAAATTCAAACCCCCAGCCTCCTTACATCTGGCAATGATGGGGGTGGGTTCTCCCTTTCCCTGGGGGTCCAGTGGCTGCTGGGCTGCAGGGCGGGCGGGCGGCGCTGGTGAGGGAGCACTTTCCCCTGAGCTCTCTGCTCAGCTCCCTTGCGCGCCGCAGAGTGATGCTGGGAGCCGGAATATGACGGCTAATATGTCCCTGGTGCTTTACCCTTTTGGAACACCTGATTTTGACTACAAATTAATTTTCCCTATTCATTCCGCTTGCGATATTACCTCACTGTAATTGCCAAAGTTCTGTAAATATTTATTGCAAGAGTCATAGATACTGCATAGCAACAAGTGTTTTTGCACGGTAACTAGGACGTACAGTAGTTCACGGGAGAATAACTTGCAGTGCTTTTTGAAATATTGTTTTTACTGTACTTACTGCGAATATTTCTTGTAGGCCTCCTTTATAAAACATAGCAATCATACAGTGTAGGATTTATTTTAAGTTGGTTGTGAAAGTTCTGGGAACACGGAATGTAGCCCCATGTAGCCAAAGCGCAGCTAAGCGAAAAAAGGCCTTGACAGGGGTTAGGAGGCGGGCATAGGAGGAGGGAAGGAAGTAGGGAGTTATGGGTAAGTAGGCTTGGCTATTTAAATAGGCAGCCATTTTAAAGCCTTCACTTTTAATTACTACCTTGCTGAGTTTGTGTGCACTCCTGTGTCCACAGATTTGGTTTGGTGGGGTCTTTGTTTTTCTCTCCTTCTGCAGGGTCGAAGGATAACATGGAGGAGCTGTTGGAGCGGATCCGGTTGGCGGCTCAAGGACGTGGCGTGGACTGGCTGCGGGCGCAACTTGGACCAGCCCTGGCGGGTGCTGCGGATCATGAGGGCGGCGGAGGTCGGCCTGTGCGGGCTCGGAGGCCGCCGAGACGGCTGAGCCCAGGCGCGGAGTCCGGTGGAGACGGTTCCAGCGGCCGGGCGGCGGCGGGACCAGGCCGAAACGGACCCGGTAGCCGCATGGTTGAGGCTCCGCCTCCCGGCGCGTTACCGGGACGTCGGAGAAGCGGTAGCCGGCGGGAGGCTACCCGGGAGTCGGACGGTGCAGCTCCCAGTGCGGGGAGGGCTGCGCCTGGAGCGGGGGCCGCGGGAGACATCGGGCGGCCCCCTGGAACCGGTGAGGACGCGGGATTGCAGCCCGGGAGGGCATCTACTACACCCATGGCGGGGACTGGCGGGGCCGGTGCGGAAGGAGCTCGCGGACCGCCCCTGGAACAGGCAAGTGCAGGGGGTTCCGGCCGGGACCCCCTTGGCGTGAATCAGCGCAGGAGGACTGGGCACAGGGTTCAGAGTCCTGGGGGGGACGTGGGGAGGGGTCAGGTGCCTGCTAGAGCGGGGGCAGGGAGGTCTAGGGGGGAGGGTGCGCAGGGTAGTTCCAGGGTAGTGGGCTTGGAGCGAGGGCCAGTAGCCGGGAGGGTGGAAGGGCCAGGGGGTACGGCAGGGGGAAGTTTGCCATCAGGGGGGGGCAGGAGGTCGAGGTGCGCAGGGCGTTCAGGACAGGTTAGGGGTGCGGGGTCTGGGGACCGGCTGGAGGTACCGAGGGGAGGGGGTGCTTCTAGTCGGGGGGCCCGCCGGGGTGGGGGGTGGGGATTTCCCTGCGCTGGTGAGCAGATAGGTGGGCGTAGTTCTGGGGGGGGTTCAGGTTTGGGGTCAGGTGATAGCAGCCCGTCACCGGTTAGGGCCCGGGGGTCCGGGGGGTTTAAGGGAAGGGTTCGGCGTGTTAGGTCCTCATCTAGTAGCTCAGGGGGGGAGAGTGTCATGGCCCCCAGGCTGGTTACACGGGGGCGGGCCTCTGGTAGAAACGGGAGGAGTCGTAGTCCCAGAGGCAGGGCCGATCGGGCCTTGGGTGGGCGAAAAGGAGTGGTTGCGCGACGGGAGGCTCTGGTGTCCAGCGGGCGCTCTCAAGGTCGGGACGGGGGGGCTGCTCATGACCAGTATGCTCTGCCCAGGACTTCTTCTCCTCGTTACAGATCTCGGAGCCGCTCCGCATC